CTTTCAAGTCCATCCATTTGTGTTGCATGTTCTTTCTGTTGGCTAGCTATAATTGCTGAAAACTAGATTAAGACATCACACAAAGATCAGCCAAACAACTGAGAATCATGTTCTAGCCAAGTTGACACAAAGCTTTAACCATCTCTGGTACCCTGGGACAGACGTTTGTTTTACAGAGCTATTGAATTTTGCATCTAGCAAGCTGCTAGTTCTCTGGAGCTAGGGACAGGCTTCTCGGGGGGAATGAAGACAGAAGAATGCTTCCATCCTTACTGTGTTACTTTATTGCTGAGTCCTCCCAAATGTTGTCTGCACTCTCTATTCTGTGGGATTTCACAGTCTTCATCTCCACAGGCATGAATTCAGGGAGACTGGGCCAAAAGAAAGAGAAATGCAGAAACTCTGCTTCAAAGATAATCACCCCGCCCTCAGTGATGACATGAACATCTCTTCCGCTGTTTGAGAGAAAGAGAAGTGGAAAAACGTTGCTGAAACGATCCACCAAGGGAGTGGAATGTAACCTTTGATTACAGCTGTGCTAAAACATTGCTGCTGACGGATAGGCCCTGGAAATGAATAAGCAAAACTTAAAACGACTCTGTGATACAGTGGTGAGAATGTGAAGGAATTCTGTCATTCTCTAGTTTACCATTTTCTTGTAATGACTTTATTTCCCCCCCCCTTTTTTATTACTAATTTTAATGAACAGAGACTTTGGATTTCCATTCATTCCTTGTTGCATTTTTCTCCCTACTTGTAAAGACTTTATATAGGCCTTATAATGAAAACAAAGGGCTCTCAAGTATGTCAGAAATGATAAAGATGGCACAGGATAAGACAGGGTTCAGAGTTATTGTTCTTAGGGTCACTATGAGTTGTATTTGACTCAATGACACTTAACAACATCATGAAAGATATGTTTTCTTTTTCTTAGTGTAGAAAACAGTTTTATCTAAACTTTTACTGTTATGTAAATCATGTTAGAATAACCATATTGATTATTAACAAAAATATTTAAAGTATATTCATTCCTAACTTCCACACAAAAGCAAATAAATTACCGATAATAAGGAAACTGGTCCACCAGAGTGCAGAATAGCATAGCAGTTAAAATGAACTTTAGACTGGGCGGGGAGAGAAGTGCAGCAATGAATGAATGGAAATCCAAAATCTCTGTAAATGCTCATTAAAATTATTTTTTTAAAAAATGAACTTTAGAGTCAGACAGATTAGGTAGAAATCCTGATGTCAGCAATCATTAACTGTATGCTCTTGAGTAAGACTTCTTCCTTCTGAACTATAGTTTCCTCAACTGTAAAAAACAAAGAAAATGTTGTTTTTGTTGTTAGGTGCCATCAAGTCTAGTAGGACTCATAGTGAACTCATTAACAACAAATTGAAGCCTTCCCTTGTCCTGAGTCATCCTCACAATCTCCATCAAGCTCTAGCCCAGTGTTACAGTTTGTCAGTCCATTTTGTTGAGTGTCTTCTTCTCTTTCAAGGAGTGACTCTCTACTTTCCCCAGCACAGTATCTTTATTCAAGGTCTGACCCCACCTAACAACATACCCAAAGTATTTGAGAAAAAGTTTCACCATCCTTGCCAGTGTAAAAATTTATTGAGACTATACAAGCTTAATTTAAACATATTTAACTCTTATCTTAATCTTAGGGAGCTCTAGTGGTAAGTTGTGCTGTCAACCTAAAGGCAAGTGGTTCAGAAAAATCTACTCTTCAAGGATCTCTCCACAGTGCTAAAGAGCAACAATGTCAGTCTAGAGACTAAGATGCTCCTGATCCAGGTCCTGGTCTTCTCAATTACTTGCTATGCATCTGACAGCTGGATAATGACTAAGGATGATAGAAGAAAAATGGATTCCTTTGAATAGTGGTTCTGGAGAAGAGCATTGAACATACCATAGACTGTCAAAAGAACAACTAGGTCTATCCTGAACATAGTTGGTCACGGTGAGCAAGGATTTTAAAAATAGATCTCACATTCTTACAGCATGTTGTCAGGAGAGGTCGGTCCTTGGAAAAGGACATCATGCTTGGAATGGTAGAAGGTCATTGCAAGAGAAGAAGACCCTGGGTGAGAGGGATTGGCACAATGACTTTGACAAAGGGGTCAGGTGTGTAGGAGACTGTGAGGTTGGCTCAGGATAGGGCAAAGTTCAGAGCTGTTGTTCATAGGGTTGCTTTGAATCATAGTCAACTCAATGGCACAAAACAACAACAATCTATGGCATAAATAGATTAGCAAATATAAACTGAAAATGAACAAGCAACAGAGGATAAAGCAAACAATTGGGACCTTCTAAAATGTAAATCTTTTTGTGTATCAAAAGACTTTTTCAAAAGAGTTAAAAGAGAATCTACAAACTGAGAAAAATATTTGGCCATGATGTATTTGACAAGGGACTCACCTCTAAAATTTATAGAAAGCTCCAACATCTCAACAAGGAAAAGATAAACAAGCCAATTATAAAATGGACAGAGAATATGAAAAGACACTTCTTTATCCCAAAGGTGCACGGTTCAAATCCACCAGATGCTCTGCTGGAGCAGGAGGGGAAATCTCCTCCTGTGCCAGTTGGATCTGCTCCAATAGTACACAACAAGAAAAAAAAATTAAAAGGAGAAATTTAGATGGCCAACAAACATGATCATCATCTATTGGAGAGATGCACATCAACCCAATAGCAAATCAAAACAACAATGAGCTATCTATCATCTCACCGTAGGAACAATACCAAAGTTTAATAAAACAATAAACAACAAATGTTGGCAAGGCTGTGGAGAAATTAGGACTGTCATTGACTGCTGGTCCAAATATAAAATAGTGCAATCACAATGGAAAGCAGCTTGGTACTTCCTTAGAAAAGTGGAAATTAAAATACCATTCGAACTAGCAGTTCCACCACTGGATCCCAAAGATACTAAAGTTCCCACATAAACAGATATATACATAGGCAGGTTCATTGAAGCATTATTTACAATTACAAAGTGATGAAAACAATCCAAGTGAACACAAAGGCAAATGGATAAAGAAATCATGGTACTGCCCCATGACAGAGTACTATGTATCCAAAACAAAACAAAAAAAACAAGAAAAAATATGCTAAACACTGATAAAATGTTTGCATCTAGAGGACATTATGCTGTGTGAAATAACTCAGTTACAAAAGTACAAGTACTGTTAAAGCCACTATTATCAAAAGCTAAAACAACTATTATCAAAAGCTAAAGAAATCTTTCTACACAGAAAGAATAATTGTTGTATAGTTACAAGAAATGGAGAGGAACGAGAAGAGAGTAAAAATAGATAAAATTACTAAATGGATAATAGATACATTTTTCTTTTATTCTTTATTTTATTTTAATGAAAGTTTATAAAGAACTTGGATCACATTCATTCATTGTTGCACATTTTCCTCCCTGTACCCCCTCCTCCCAAGTTCACTTTTTCTTTGGAAAAAAAGTTCTTTCATGTTCTTTCTTGTTATACGGTTCCCCATCATCACCACTTTACTATGCAGCTCTTATTCTGGACTCTTGTCATGCCAATAATACCTAATCATATATTCCTTTTATACAGTTCTCTCCCTCATCTGTTTCAATACCATGTACATTATTTATCTCCTCTTTTCTTAGTTTCTCCTCAACCCCCATAACATACCCCCATACATAACCCTGTTCTGTAACAGTGGCATTATGCAGTATTTTTATTTTTGTGACTGAGATATTTCACTCAGCATAATGTCCTCCAGGGTCACCCATTTTGTATAACATTTCATGAGTTCCTTGTTTTTCAGTGCTGCAAAATATTGTGTGAATATACCACAGCTTCTCTATCCATTCGTTTGCTGATGGGCACTTGGGTTGTTTCCAACTCTGCTATTGTGAACAAAGCAGCAATAAACATAGGTGTGCATATAACTGCTTGGGAGGCAGTTCTGGTTTATTTCGGGTATATTTCCAGTATAGAATTGCTGGGTCAAATGGTATTTCTATTTCCAACTCTTTGAGAAAGTGCCATACAGCCTTCCATAGTGGTTGCAACATTTTACACTCCCACCAACAGTGATAAGGGTTACAATTTCTCCACAACCTCACCAGCATTTGTTGTTTGCTGCTCTGTTAAATTTTGCTATTCTTACTGGTGTGAGATGATATCTCTTAGTTGTTTTTAGATACATTATTTTTAAGAAAGGTGAAAGGAAAGACAATATATAATAAGAGGGTGATCAGCACAAAAATATCACTGAAAAAGAGAAGGAGACAGAGAGGGGTAGGAAGATGAATAAACATCAGCATTATAGAGAAGAAATGGAGAAACTGTTACTACATTGTTGGTATTAAAATGGGTATGACAGAACTAGATGTGTGTGTATAAATGATCAAAAGAAAAATCAGTTTTCTTTGTAAACTTACTCAAATCATAATTAAACAACAACAACAGAAATTTAAGTGTTTCACTTGAGTCACCTAAAGTGATAATCTTGAAGGGCACTTTATCCTCACCCCCAAAACAGGCCAGTAAGTCTGGACTGCATTCAAAACATGAGGAGATGGAAGCATAATGCAAGTAGGAGAGTAAGCAGAAGAGGTTCAACAAAAGTACTGAATATTGGGTTAGCTTGAAAGTAGCAAGCACCCATTGAAGATCTATAAGCAAAGGGATTCTATAACTTAAGCGTCTCCATTTTAGAACCTTTCTGGTGACAGGCTGAAGGCTGAAGTGGACTAGGAAAACTGGTGATGGAGCACACTTACAAGTTTGTTTGTACTTGTGCATGGAAGAGGGGATGTGAAATAGAAAACAGTGACACTGCAAATAGAAGCAGAGAATCAATCCCAAAAGACATTTCTGTAACTCCAAGTCATACTGACTCGGTTTCCATTTCCTCACTTGACAATATAAAAAAAGGAACAGCTGCCGGCGGAAATGAATTCTGCTCTTTCAGACGTCCTGTGTCATTTGTAGTCATTTTCAGAGAACTATTCTCTTTTCTCATAAAACAAGTAGAGTTGTCTAATGGCTCTGGAGGCAAAGCAGAGCCTGTGAAACGTCTCTGATGGGGCACATTCCGGACTAATCCCGAATACAATATTTCTTTCCAAGCCTGAAAAATTCTGAATACTATCAAGAACAATGTGACTTTGCCCAGCACCAGCAGCCTGGCTAAACACAATTTCTGCTGTTCCCTGGGTCTCAAATAATCCCACTGCATTTTGTAGTACGAGTTCATAGCGTTGTCTATCCTCTTTTCTCTTGCACAGAATGGCTATATCCTTGGGCAGATAGCCACACTGGATCAGGCTGTGACATCTTTCTGCCACATGGTTTGCTATTTGTTCTCGGGTCATGTTAGTCTCTGTCTCACACACCCCTGGTGGAGCCTGGGCGTCTACCGTTTCCTCATAGGCATCCTCCTTGAACAGTGCATCCGCACACATGTTGAAGGGAGTATTTTCTTTGATTTTTTTCATTTCTTCTTTCATGGCCATTGCAATTTCCAAAGCACAATGGATCCCCTTGGTGATTGTTTTTCTAGGAAACTGAGCTGATGGAGGAGGAAGGCCACTGTCTGCATTATAGACTTGGAAAGGATCCAGAAAAATCCAGAGAATTCCATGGTGAAACTTTTCACTTCCAACTCCCTTTACCTTTGGATGGGTGATGTTCTTAGCCTTCGTGTACCAATCACCCTTTTTACTGCAGAAATTCTCTGTTTCATCCATCACTATATGTTTAATCTTCAGAAATTCTCCTTGCAGGAACATTTTCCGGGTCACCACTTGGCAGGTGGTTTGTTGGCTGTAAGGATGAAAGAGAGAACAGGATTTCAGGGATAGAAACAAAGGGAGCAGCACATGCTCAGTGCTGTCTGGATGGCAATCAGAGGCTCCCTGTCATCTGGAGGCTGATTCATTAAATGATTCAGCAAAGTCCTGAATGCCACAAAACTTCTGTACTTACCTAACAGATGAAAGCTATACAATTTAAGCCTGCTTGGTAGGGTTATCTAGCCAAATCCTTATGTGAAATTTTTGAAATGATAGGAGCCTGTCTTTTTCAATTTGATTTCTATTTCTGCTGTTTGACTATCATTTAAGGTGAACTTATTGTCAATGAGTTAGAACTGACTTCATAGCTGACACCCCAGTGGGTTTTCAGAGGCTGTAAATTGCATGGGAGGAGGTTGCCCATCTTTCTCCTGAGGAGCAGCTGGTGGATACAAACCACCTACCTTTGGGTTGGCAGCACAATGTCTTACCCACTAGGCCATCAGTGCTCCTAAACTTGCTTACCAAGCAAAGTTAAGAACACAGTTTTGGCACATCTTATGCAATCTTTCATAAATTGACATCTACCTCTGTTTTCACTTCTTCATCTGCCACATTCCATCTCTGCTCCAGTGAGACTTTGTATTTGGGTTCTCTTTTTCTCCATGTCTTTGCATTTGGTGTGATCTTTCCCTAGAAAACCTTCCCCATTTCATTCACATCTACTGACTTCCTAAGTGTAGGCCCCAACAGTTTTCTGGCCTGGAGCATGTGAAGAAATCAATCAACTTACAATCAGAGCAAAGATAAACTATACACTCATCATTATATTGGCTGCATCATACACTCATTGCTTATTTTTTCCTTATCTGCCTTAGTGAACTTGATGGCAAGGACCTCAATATGTTTCTTCCCCCTAACATGAAGTCAGTCTAGCATAGTGCCTATCTAGCCTATAAAAAATAATTAAAAGCAATTTACTGAATGAATAAGTAAACCAAACCACAAATCAAAATTAATTTGCCCTCAATAGCTGAGTTATATCACAACCAATATTTCTGTCTGCTAATTTGAAAGCTAAAGACTGAAATTGGAAGCAAATGATCATTCTTTCTAATTTAAAGGTATTGATTCAGAACAAGACAAATGGATGGAAAAAAAACCTCTTACACAAAATTAAATGGTATGCACTATAAATCCCTAGTAAATACAATGTGTAATTATCTGAAATATCTTATGACTTTAAAATACTAAGGAATAAGAAAGCATATAGTTAAGTGGTGTAGATGAATTTCTACTTTCCTTAAACTTAAGTTCACATATTGTGAAATAAGTGATAAGCATCAGATATTTCTCATTCTAGAAATTTAAAGTTATGTATCCATGCATAGTTGGATGATTGTAATTAGATATAGGCATGGGCTTTTTTCTTTTTTCCCTTCTAATATGTTTGAGCCTGAACTCTGTAATTCACCTGCCTCTAGCTCAACTCCCTGATCATTTGTAAAAGTGCACGTCGTGTAGGCTAAATCTTGTTTCTTAAAAGGCTGACTCAGAACATTTATTTTTTTACTTGGAGAAACTCTTACTTCACAAATGCCCGTAAGGAGTCATGTTCACAAACATAGAGGATTTCTTTTGACTTGCAGTGGAACAGGCTCTTTATTTTCTCCACAATCTTTATGGCGAGGGCGGTTTTCCTGGTTCCAGGAAAGCAATAGAGAAACAACTCCCGTGTCTCCTGTAGGCTCTTGGAAAGCAGCTCGCACTGCTCCTCGATGAGCAAGTTGAAAAAGTCACAGCCCAGTTGGTCACTGAGCAGCGATCTAGAGCACAAGGAGACCGCCACGAGGGCCTGCAGCAAGGCTTCCACTTCATCCTGACTGGCAAGCCTGAAGGATCGAGGGTAGCACACGGGGGTTTTGTTGCATGCAAACTGCATGCTGGGCAAGTGCACCAGCCTTGGAATGATGCACAGTCTCCCCGTGTAACCACCAATGGTTTCTAGTTTCTGCTTTAACTGATGAGCAGTGATTCGGGCGTATTCAAGTCCTTCAGTCCAACTCAAGTCTGTGAAGACAGTATAGAGTACCGGGGGGCTGTGAACTGCTATTAGAAGAGCATCGCACAGCACCTTCTGCTCTGCTCTTAAGCCAATGTCATCTGCCCAGCTTCTGGAGAGTATCATCATTCCTGGAGAACAAGGATACACCTGTTTCTCCATTAATTCCTTCAGTCCTTTATGAGCTGAGAATAACTTCGTGCAGAGGGATTCTGGTTTAAACTGTATCCCCTCCTGAACCACTGAAAAGGAGAAGAATACAAAGCAAGTTACCCCAAAGTGTATTGTAAGTATTCTTGGCGCAATGTCACAGAGAAGTGCCCCCACTAAGGAACTGTGAGTTTCCTTGTCTGCCTAATGAAGACCTGAGGTTCGTTTTCATTTATGGTAGATCTAGTGTAGGTGAAGTCTATCAGAGAGAAGTCCTCCCAGAACTGCCTCCTGGAATCCTTTCCTCAAGCCTAAGTGGCAGCCTTTAGTTGAGAAGTTGTTCCTTCTTGTAGAAGGTCTTTTGTGAACCTGATGCTTTTGAGAAACTAAAAGTTGTCTGTTGTTGTTGTTATGTGCTGTTGAGGCAATTACGACTCATAGTGACCCTATGAACAGGCTTGCTCTCATCATCTTCAACATAACTGCAGCAGTAATTAATAGCCCTGGGCAGTTTTAGCCCCCAGGAAACATCTTTGAATTTTACAATTGGATAGATGCTGATAGCATCCACTGGGCAGTGCCAGAGATGCTGCTAAATACCCCACAAAGCGCAGGTCAGCCCACTGCAGCACAAAAGTTATTTGGCTCCAATGTCAATCATGTTGAGGTTGAAGAACCCTGCTGTAGAAATTCAGATGCTCTAATGTCTCCCTCTTAATTGGAGAGTCAGGGTACAGTTCTCTTACAGCTCAAGAAATTTCTAAGGTCTCAGCTCCAGGCTTATAGGATGTCAGTTTGAAGACGAAGGTGTGCCTATTTTAGGCCATGGTCTTTTTCAGTCACTTGCTCTGAGAGCTGGACAATGAATGAGAATGACTGGAGAACTGATGCCTTTGAACTGTAATGTTGGAGAAGAGTGTTGAGTATTCTGTGGACTGCCAAAAGTACAAACAAATATGTCTGGGAGAAGATGTAGCCAGTATGCTCCTAGGTGGCAAAGATGATAAAGCTCCATCTCATGTACTTTGGGCATGTTTCTAGGATAGGTTATTCCTTGGAGAGGGGACTTCATGTTTGGAAAGGTGGAGGGACAGTGAAGGAGAGGAAGACCCGCAACCAGATGGATTCTCACAGTGACTGCTGTAATGGGGTTGAGTGTGTCAGAGATTGTGAAAATGGCACAGGCTAGGACAGGGTTCAGATGTGTGTTGTTCATAAGGTCTCTATGAGTTGTACTCAACTTGAGAGCATCTAACAACAGCAATAAGCTCTAAGGAGGGAGCTCTGTTTGCTTAGTGGCTGCTAACCCAAATATATGCAGTTCAAATGCACTAGCTGCTCTGTGAGAATAAGATGACTATGTGAGGAGAGAAAAAAAAAATTCCTCCCATGAGATTTACTGCCTCTGAAAGCTGCTGGAGGGTCAGCTATGGGTCAACTTGATAGCACATAACAAACAAGAAGAGATAAGGAACATACAGTATTCTCAAATTCAGAGAACAAAAGCTATATGTAAAACTAGCTGAAGTTTAACAACATACAGCAATAGAAAGTATAGTGGAGATTTGATGGAGGCTAAACAAGGGCAGCCATCTTACTTTAGTATCATTATATGTACTAAGTTCTACATTTGACTTGCCGTAAGGAGAAAAGCTTGGACAAATTTCCACCAATTCCTCCCCACTTAATTTTAGAAAATAAATTATTCTCCCCCAGTTGAAAAGAAGAGGGAATACCTGGAAAGAAATGCTGCTGCAGAATCTCCTTAAATTCCAGGACTTTGTTGTGATATGCTGGGGTTCTTCGTGTTGATAAAGCTTCTGCAATCAGGTCAGAGCTGTCTTTCATAGCCAGACTGTAAGGAACTAAATAGATCCATGATAAGTTATTGGGATGTGGGGGAGGGGGTGAGGAGAATCAGAGAACCAACAAGAAAACTCTAAAGAACTGCTTCCTTGTTCTTCTGGAAACACAAGATGGTCACCTTGCCTGAGCTGCCTCAAATTGAAGCCTCAAACTAATCTCATAACCCAAGCAGGGGAGTTTGGGGACTCCTGAAGTGTTTTACACTTTCTAAAGTGTGACTCGATGGCACTTAACAACTATAACATCAAGATAGAGTGAGATCCCTTGGCCCAATAGACAGAAAGCGATGTTACCAAGCCAAAGGTGGGTGACTTTTAATCTGCAGCCCTCGGGCCAGTCTTTCATTTTGTTGACATTCCTCTAGGTCATATAGCCCTGGTGTACAAGTTGCCATACAGCTGTTGCTTGTGGTTACTGTGAGGCTGAACACTGTGACACTTATGTGTCAAATGCGTTAATGGTTGGTTATCCAATGCAGACAGAGTTTGGTGGAGCTCCCTGATTAAAACAAGTTTGGAAGGAGGAGTGGTATCCACTTCCGCAATAGCTTGCCTCTGGAAACCCTATGAACCGGGAGAGAGGATGAAAGGCACCCAAACATTGAGGATCCTCCTTCATAGGGTCGCTATGAGTTGCCTGCGACTCGACGGCACTTAACAATAACAACAACAATGTGTATGACTCCTCTTTGGCAAGTAATTTCACCTTTCCTGCATATAACAGTGAGTTGATAATCTCTAAGTTTCTTTACAACCCTTATTCTGATTCCAAGAGGAAAAGGCATTTAGTCATTCTATATATATCTGTATTTATAGATAGATAAATGATGTTAATAGAACAGAGTTCTGGTCTTCTCTTCATAGGGTTACTATGAGTTGTATTTGACTTCATGGCACTTAACCACTGCTAAGTGAGACTAGTGTTTGGTGGAGCTCCCAGTTGTAAAACAGGTTTGGAAGCAGGAGTGGCATCCACTTCTTAAACCACATGCCTCTGGAAACTCTATGAACTTGGAGAAAGGAAGATAATTGTAGAAAGGCATTAGGTCTTTTGTTCATAGAGTTGTGCTCGACTCAATGGCAATCAACAGAAACAACAACAACAGCGAGATATATAGATGTACATATGCACTTATATAACATATCTATCTATTTATACCTATAGATATATAGAAGAGCTCTGGTGGCCTAGTGGTAAGGAATTGTACTACCAACCCAAAAACACGCGGTTCAAAATCTGCCAGCTGTTCTGCGGAAGAAAGACAGATAATCTCCCCCTGTGCAATTAACTGCCTCTGAAACCCCCCTGGAAGGTCATCGATGGGCTGGTTCTGACATGATGGTACATATAACAACAGCAACATAGACAGTTGTATAAGGACTCTCTGGTTGGCACAAATAGTTAAATATTTGACCACTAGCTGAAAGACTGGTGGTTTGAATACATTCATAGGCACCCCAGAAGACAGGCCCGGTCAAGGCTCTGTGGAGCACAGTTCTCATCTATACACAGGGATTGCCATGAGTCAAAACCAAGGGAAGGGCAACTGAAAACAGTAACACAGTTGCTGTGTAGTTCTCCATCCAATGTCTATACGAATTACAAATTGGTAGGATTTCTAGGTTTTTCAATGCCTGTGTATGTGAGAGAGAGAGACAAATAGAGGGAGACTAAAATTTAACACAAGAGGAAGAAAGATCCAATAAACTTCTTGAACCATTCCAACCTTTTTTAAATCATAATAACCATGAAGGCACTAATAAGCCCATGCCGATGCTTGGTTCAAGATAGAGCAGGGTTCAGAGCTGTTGTGTACAGGGTTGCTATGAGTCACAAGAGACTCGAAGGCACATAACAACAACAAGTCCTTGACAGATTGATTAGGAATCACAAAGGCCAATCTCGAGCATAATAGTAAGGGAAGTGAAAGCACCAGATGTACCCTATCTTGCTGCCATCTCTGGTCTCAGCATCTCCTTTTTGCATAATTTCTTCCCACTCAGTGGTACTTCAAGGCCAATGGTTAATGCACTAACCTCTAAAACAAAGGGGCCCTTTAGAGTAGTGAGAGAAGATCTTCACCCTGAAGCCCACAGCGTCCCTTTTCAGCAGGAAGTAGCTAAGAGAATACGCCATCCCCTTTTCCTTATGACTCAGGGTGAAGTCTCTCTCAGGGAGGAGTGATAGGGAATGGCAAAGGACACACTGACAAAGAAGATTAATCAGAACTGGCTTTGACAAGAACTGCGGCATTTGGACAAGAACAAACTGGGAGGAGGGTAGAGAGAATAGTGCAACAATGAATGAATGGAAACCCCAAATCTCTGTAAATGTTTATGAAAATTAATAAAATATAATTATAGAAAAAAAAAAGAAAAAATTCAAATTTGTCAGCAATGTTTCCTTTGAAATAATCAGGGAAGTGTCCTTCTCAGACAATAATAAATGAATGAAAATCTAACTTTTCTGTGAACTTTTGTTAAGATCACAATGAAAATAATAAATTTTATTTTAAAAAAGTTTTGATTTGGGGGAGGGGTGGGCAGTGCAACAATGAATGGAAAAAAATTAAATGGGAAGAATATGTTGTTAAACAGTAGATGTTGCATTAAAAAAAAGTTTCTCTGAAGTCTTTAGAGTGCAACTATTGGTGGAAATTTTTTACTAGAAATATCAACCTGAAAAATTTCTTTTAAGCAATATGTCACAGGAAAATTGAACTTTCACTAATCTTTGTTTCATGGGATACTATAACTTTCCCAAGATAGACTAAAGTCTATGAATTTCTTGACGCAGAAGAGCTTATTTTCTGAGTCACTGGAACATAAAGATATTAGAAAAAGGGCCCTGTAATTAAGAGGACATTCATAAGCAGAAACAACTTTATATTCTTTAACTGATATAGCTGACAAGTACCCACCAACGGCAGAGAAGAGGGTCCTTCTTGCACCCACTTTACCTGGCTGAATGTCCAGCATCAGGGCCACCCACTCCTCAGCCTTCAGTTTTGTGACAGAATTATTCTTCATGATCCAGGAACCCGGGGCTTCTGCGAACACCACACAGCAGAAGGGCTCCACTTGAATCACACACACGTAGCCATATAGACCATCTTTTTGGTACACAGCCAAAACTTTGGTAGTGAAATTCACTTTTGGCTTCTCACTGCAGAAGTGGAATGTAGGCAGTTTTTGTATACAGTTTTCTATTTCCTTTTTCAATAAGCTAGGGTTTACTTTCTCCTTCTTACATCCAAACACTTCTTTGCTCTTATCATCCACACCAATAATTAGGTATCCCCCCTGAGTGTTGGCAAATGCAGACACATAATGAGGCAACATTTCTTTCATTCGAGGCACGACCTTTTTGGTGTTGAACCTTTTTAACTCCACGTGGGTTGATTCAGTAAAGTTGAGTTTCTCTTTGTACATGAGTTTGTCCTTTTTAAAGAGCTCTGAGGCAGATGCCTTCATATCTTCTTCTTCTTGGATGTCTCCATCATGAGCTTTCTCGGAGTACAGCCCCTTCACCCTTGGTTTTCTTCGCTGAGCTCTGGACTGCTTCTCTCTCAGAAGCTCCAGGGCACTGTAAGCGCTCAAGTTGATCGCGGAAGTCACATCTCTCTGAAACAAATTGGACTTCAGGCTGCAAATCCTTAGTGGGAGGCTGAAGACATCTGGGCTCCATGACTTCACAAAAATCAGGAGATTATGTTGCTGCTGCACATAGTCAAGGTATTTCTGTGAGCCTGAAGGTAGAAGCTTTTGAAAAGACGTTTCCAGGTCCTGTCCCAGTCCATGGCATCGGTAACTGTACTCTTTATCACCAATCTCCGCTTTGACTACACCCCCTCCAGAATTTAACAGTGCACAGATAGCTTGGGTAACTTTAGAGTTCTCTGTTCTTTTCAAACTGATGTTGGTCATCTTCTTTCTGTTTTCTTCTCCAAAAGTCACTCTGCCCACCTCTACAACTCTCTCAGGATAAGGTGTGTCCTTATAAGTTTGGAGACTCTCCATTTTAGCTGTCTCTCTGTGTTCCAATCAACTTCAGAAAGGAATTCCTATTTTTAAAGAGATCAGGACTGAAAAGTTGTTTTTATAATGACAACGATTACAATATAAAAAATAGAAATTACTACAATATAAAAAAGAGCTTACTAGCCATGTATTACTGCGATGGGAAAGTCTGCTCTTAGGTACCTCTCCAAAGTACTGAAGAACAATGGTGTCACTCTGGAGACTAAGGTGTGCCTGATACAGGCTACGGTCTTTGCAATCACTTGCTATGCATCAGAGAGTTGGACAATGACTAGGGATGATAGAAGGAGAATTGATTCTTTTGAGCTGTGGTGTTGGAAAAGAGTATTGAGTATACCATGGCCTGCTAAGAAAACAAACAGGTTCATCTGGGAAAGGGTTAAACCAGGCTGCTCCTTGGAGGCAAAGATTCTGAAGCTTATCTAACATGCTTTGGACATGTTGCAAGGAGGGATCAGTCCTTGGAGAAGGATGTCATACTCAGGAGGGTAGAGGGACAGCACAGGAGAAGAAGACTCTCTATGAGGTGGACTGATTCAGTGATCGGGGTAATAGGGGTAAGTGTGTCGGAGACAGTGAGATTAGCACAGGTTAGGGCAGGGTTTAGGGCTGTTGTACATAGGGTCTCTATGACTGGCAGGCAACTCGATGGCACATAACAACAACAACAACAGCCATGCATTAGAAAAGAATCTTTAGTCTCATTACTGTTTTCTAACATTATTGCCAATTTCCTTCACGTTCTTATCAAGAACATGCACAGATAAAGGTGAATGCTTAATATTTTGTCATAATGGGAAAATCATATTGCTAACAACGTCAGTCTTTTCCCATTGGAAAATCAATAAGCACCAACAGTAAGTTCAGGCATAAAGGACATGGGTGAGTTCACACAAAAAGGACATAGGAACCAAAGTGAGTTACTGGAGAATACATAAAAGTAGAAGTCATGCACTTGAAGTTTGTAATTCAGGCAGGAGAGATCGAAAGATGTGTAATTTAGACGTATATGTGACATGGAAGATTTTGCTATAAAAGTAAACAAAATTTGGCAATCTTTTTGGGCTATCTTATACATTAAGAAGACTTATGGCTATTTAGCACTTTAAACATCTAAGTTTCAATATAACCTTTTTTCATATATATATATGAAATAGATAATTTTACATATTATTTTATTATATATAACTATACTTTCATAAAATATATGAAATATATAATTACATATATTATTTTCTTTTATAGATATTTTATGACTTCTTGAAAAAAAATTTGGTAACTTTTTTTTTTAATACCATGGAAGCATAGAGAATTGGAAAGGACTTTAAAGATACTCCAAGACATCCATCTATCTGATTCATGTTGTGGTTGTTATGTTCTGTTAAGTTGGAACTGGCTTACAGCTGACCTGCCAGTGGCTTTTCAGAGGCAGTAAATCACATGTGAGGAGATTGCCTTTCTCTCACAAAGCAGCTGGTGGATTCAAATCACATACCTCTGGGTTGGTGGCACACTCCCTAACCTCTAAGCCACCAGAGTTTCCTATCTGGTTCATAGATCCCTCTATAATACTCTTAACTCCACTACATGGGAGACAGACCATCTTTCTCTCACTGGAGCAGCTGGTGAATTCGAACCACCTGCCTTTAGGTTGGAAGGTGTAACTCCTACCTAACCCACTTGGCTACCAGACCTCCTGATCCATAAATCCCTCTATAATAGTCTTAATTGCCAGTAAATTGCCATGTCCCTCTATTCTTTTTTTTTTTCATGTCCCTCTATTCTTAACTTCCAGTAAATTGCTTTTCAGCAATTGCCTAGTCTCAAGAAGCTGTGCTGCAATCTCTTAAGGCATGAGGTTCAAGGCCACCAGCCGCTCTGCAGGAGAAGGATGAACAGTCTCCTCCCGTGAGATTAACTGCCTCTGAAAACCTGCCAGAGGGTCAGCTATGGTTGAGTTATGGCTCTATGGTAAACAACAACAATAAAAACTCACTATCTCTCAAAATAATCTTTTTTTGATAGTTTTTTTAATTTTAATTGTCATTTTAACAAAAGTTTACAGGAAAGTTAGCTTTTCATTCATTCATTGATGCACATTTTACTCCCTCTCCCTCCCTTCCCCCCCAAGCTGACTTTTTTTCACTATTTATTTGCTTAAAATAATCTTTTCTATTTTCCAACAATTGTGTTAGAAAGAATTTCTTTATTTTAAGCTGCCACTTTTCTCCCTATAGCTTCCAATTGCTAGACCCACAGAAGAAATTTATTTTGAACTTGCACACTCTATAGTCTGATTACTTTCAAATCCCCTTGATGCTGGTAACCATGCCAACACACACACGTTTTCTTTGATTCTAGCTCCTTGTGAATATTCTTGTTACCCTTATCAATATTTCACACTTGCTCTCTTAAGCAAGTTTCTCCATAGCTACCATTTTACTAAGCCCTTTTTATACCATAAAACATAAAATATACATAAGATGGTTTTGGTTTTGGTTGTTTTTTTAAAAAAAAAATGTTCTTTTTACCTGATATTTGTGCTTGTCCTTTTGCTGTTTCAGTCCCACATCTGGCTTTGGTCTCAATGTTTGTCTTCTCTTACAACCCCTGTTGCTCTTTGATATCAGCCTGGGAGGAGCAGGAACTCTGCCAGACTCTTCGGGTCTGACCCACTGAGGAAGGCTGATAAGGACTCAAGAAAATCCTGTGACTGGACACATTAGTAAGCCAAGATCTGAGTTTGGGGAGTAAATAAGGTAGTGATAGGAAAGTTTTAGGGTTGTCAAGCCAAAGCCAAAGCTGAATTTACCACCTGTAATAGACAACGAATAAGGATAACAGAATTTATTTGTCACAAAAGCCTTTGAGTTGTGGTGCTAGAGAAGAGTACTGAATATCCCTTGGACTGTCAAAGAACAAACAGAGATGTCTTGGAAAGAGTGCAGTCAGAGTGCTCCTTGGACACAAGCATGGTGAAGCGTCATCTTTCTTTCTTTGGACATATAACTAGGTAAGGCTATTCCTTGGAAAGCCTTTCCATCATGCTTGGAAAAATAGAGGGTCAGTGAAGGAGAAGAAGACCCCCAACAAGATAGATTGACACAATGACTTCAGAAATGGGCTCTAGGATGTCAGAGATCATGAGAATAGGGCAGGGTTCAGGTCAGGTGTTCATAGGGTCGCCATGAATCATACTCACCTCAATGGCACATAAAAACAACAACAAAGGACTGATTATTATTTCCCATGCTCATACAAGCACCTCTTGTTTCAGCTAATTTTATTTCTAAAGCTCTACCTACGTTATATGTTAGACTGTCCTACAAATGTTCGTTGTGAGCTGTTGTTTTCAGGTGCCATTGAGTCACGTATGACTCATAGTGACCTTATGAGCAACAAATCTGAGTCTTCTCTTACCCTGTGCTGTCCTCACAATCTTTGACATTCTCAAGCTCATTGCTGCAGTCACTGTGTCAATCCATCTCATAGTACTAATTTATTGTACTACTTTTCAAATTGCTTGTTGTATCTCATTTTTATTCTCTTTTTGCATCTAATTTTTGTTGAACACAAGATTCAATTTGAACATATGCCCAGAGAGGAGGCTGTCTGTATTTTTATGAGATTACAGATTTTAATTTATTCCTTTAATTTTTTTTAAAATTTTCTAAATGGGCTACAATGGAAGACATTTAAATGGCAAATAAAACCATGAAGAAATGTTCACAATCCCTAGCTATCAGAGATGCAAATCAAAACAACTATGAGCTATCATCTCATCCCAGAAACAACAGTAAAGTTCAACAAATCAGCAAACAAAGGTTGGCGAGGTTGTAGAGAGACTGGAACCTTTATTCCCTGCTGGTGGGAGTTAAAATGGTACAACCACTATGGAAGGTGGTCTGGCACTTTCTCAAAAAGTTGGAAATAGAAATACCATTTGACTCAGCAATTCCACTACTGATAATACACCCTAAAGAAACCAGAGGTGCCATCCAAACAGATATATTCACACCTATGTTTATTGCTGCATTATTCACAATAGCAAAGAGGTGGAAGCAAACCAAGTGCCTATTAACAAATGAATGGACAGAAAAACTGGTATATTCACACAATGGAATACCACACAGCACTGAAAGACAAGGAACTCATAAAACATTACACAACATGGATGACCCTGGAGGACATTACGCCGAGTGCAATATCTCAGATACAAAAGCACAAAAGGACAAATACTGCATAATGCCACTGTTATAAAATAGGACTGTCATGGAGAGTTAGGAAGAAACTAGGAAAAGAGAGGTAAATAATGAACACTGCTGTTTAAAATGTACAATTAGGCATTATTTGCATGACAACGGTCCAGAATAAAAAGTGCATAGCAAAGTGGACTGGGAAAGGGTTTGGAGAGGAAGGAAATTATGCAACAATGAATTAATTTTTTTAAGTAAAAACTGGTGGGGTTAGGGAGAAAAATGTGTAACAATGAATAGATGAAAATCCAACTTTTCTGTAAACTTTTGTTAAAAATCACAATTTTTTAAAATTTTTATTGTATTATTTTTATGTGTACCGTCAAATCAGATCTGACTGGTACAGGAGGAGATTGCCCCCTCCTTCTCCAGCAGAGCATCTGGTGGATTTGAACCGTGTACCTCTGGGATTGCAGTGCAGCGTCTTGCCAGTAGGCCACCAGAGCTCCCTAAAAATCACAATTTTAAAAAATCATTATAATGGACAAGAGTTGTTTTATTAGATGATAAATAGTTAAATGAGAAAAAATTCAGACAGATTAAGAGTCAGTGACCTCATTTTGGGATGCTGTCTAAGGTTGAGCTAAAGAGTGACCAAAGATGCCAGATCCTAACCCCAGGAACCTGTAAATGTTATTTCCCAAAGGGGAAAAAAGTCTTTGTAGACGCAATTAGTTAAAAGTTTGAGATGAGCTTATTATCCTGAATTATGTGGGTTGGTGG